ACAACTTGTTTTACGCAACAAAAGCAGTGAGGTCTGTATCAAAACAAGGTCAACTCTAGCCTCGCTGCCATACAAAGGCCAGGTCACTGAGCAGACAACGGTAAAATGGTCTATTATCCATTCTGCGCAAGCCTATGTACCATGCTGGTGTCGTGGGCATCCTCACTACCCTTATGCTTATACTCGTGTTTATGTCGTAGAGTATCTTAGAGTATCTTTGTATAATTAAATATTCAAAGTGAATACAGCAGTTTTCGATTGAGTGTCGTAAAACTAAAACCAAAACCAAACCAAAGTAATCACTCGGGTAGTCATAAAGTATACGGATAGTCCAATGAACCAATCAAAACCCAAAGCAAATACATATGTGTAGCGAGCACAAAGCGTGGGAATATGTACGCGATTGTCAAACGATCGAGTCACCATTGGTTGACTTTATTTCTGATCGCAAAATGAAAAAAAAACAAAGTAAATCCTAGCTACCCTCTACACTAAATTGAAGAGTGCTGTATGATGCAATTATATGTTTAGAAAATGACAAAAGCAAAAAGGATAGGTAAACGTAATTGAATCTCGATTACCTTGTGCAGACTTTCAAGTGGATGCTTTTGACAGGCTGGTGTTTCGGTGGCGGCTTCTTGTTTTTCTTTTTGTCTTTGCCTTTGTCTTTGTCTTTGTCTTTGTCTTTAGCTGCTTCTCTTGCCTTCTTCCTACATTCTTTTCTCTTTTTTTTGTTCTTCAGCTTTTTGCATTCTTTTATGCCACCCTTATTCTCTTCGTTTTCTTTATCCTTGTCTTCATCCTCGTCTGCTTGATCTTCCACAGGACCAAACAGATTCTCGGCTTCCTTTTCTTTGATTTCTACAACTTTCGTCGTCAGGTCAAACTTGCAGATTTCATCGCGTGACGAAGGAAGGTTGTAGCGAACTTCCACCTTGAAAAGAAGACAGCAACTGGTATACAATACGGCTCCTGTATACAACTAACACCTGGCAGAGATCTTTGCACTAAAAAGTCGACGTCTTAAGCTCACGAACTTTCACTTTTATGATTAAATTCGCAACCTTTTTAAACACAGGGGGCGCTTTCCATGAACCCCCAAAACCGGTTTACATTTCCCGGAATCACCGGTGTCGAATGAAAAAGTATTTACTAGATTTTCCGGAAAAGAAGAGAACTTCGCGATGTATACCCAAAGTTTTGAACATTTCATACCGGCAGTTTCGGTTTCGTTTGATTTTCCTCCCGTAATTTCCGGAAATTTTGGTTAAATTGTTCGCATTTTGGAAATTCAACAATTTCCGGATTCTCCGGAAATTATCGAGGGAAATTTCCGTATCATTTGCCACGTTTCGAAAGCTCCAGTTGGTTGAATGGAAAGCGCCCAACCTCAGCCATAGTAATATAAATACGGTTTCAGATGATGTGATTGAATTTGGGAAAACATTTGCTGACGAAGTACGCATTATAAGGCTGTAGATTTGTGAGTAGAAAGTGCAGTGCTTACCCAAATGTATAAATGGGTACCAGCGAGTTAAAGGCTAGGAATAACCCGGAGATGGGCTGCCCCGCCCCCCATCCTGGGGGTAGGGAACGATTACAAATACTCCAGGTCGCTTCATCATACGGAAACAAGAGAGCCAACCTGAGGGGCCACTTGGCTCGAACTCAGACTCTATCTTCACTCTAACCTTTTACCCTAAAGGGCATGTTGAAAACGTTCTGTTCAAGCCCCGAAATTTTAATAAGGGATTTGTATGTTGGCGCCGTTGAACTAAAACCATTAGAGCCCTTTACCATTTAATTCTCCTGCTGATTAAGACAGTCATTAATTAAACCCCACTGCGACTTTCAAAATTTAAATGATAATGGGACAACGAAATTAATGCTGGTATTTGTAGTCCAATGGCGCTGTTCAGTAGCTACTCTCTCAGTACTTCTGTTGAAAATTTCAGCCGCAGACCAAGGCAAGGAAATTGAAGAGCAAAACAAAGTTAAACTTACCTCTAACAGACCAACCCCGGTTCCACGACTTTCCACAAACAGGTTTCCACCAAGGAAATTCTTAACCTGTCGATAAAACATAGAAAGAAGTTAAGCCCCCAGATTGTGACGACAGATTAAAATTTAATAACACAAAACCATTTGTGTAAATACAGTTGATGAGCTTCATGGTTCAGGCTTTGTTTTTCAGGGATAGTTATTTTCGAACGCGATGTATACATCGTGGCTTCAAAACTTAAGTCATTACTCCATCGTAGTCTTAATCCTTACGTTAAATTCTCTCCTTAACAACGCGTTTTCTGGCGTGAAGTGTATCTCCGGTGGTTTCCAGTCCACTTCAACTTCGGAAGTTAGTTTGACTCTGAGATCCAATGCGTTTCCGGCTGTTTTCTCGCTGTACAAGGCTAGTGCTTGTAGAGCAACTACGGTATCCTGTTAAACAGAAAAAAACAAAACAAAACAAATAAATGCATTTTCGGATTACGTCTTTTATGCTAGCTAGAACCTCTGCATTGGTAGACTGAGAAAACCAAACAGAGGACAACATTGAGTTCGAGGACGCCCATTAATCAAATACTACAATTCTTCTCTAAAACAATTATTCGCCTCAGGCTCAGTGAACATTGGTCAATATTCACCAATGTTCACTTCGCCTTTGGCGAATAATTGTTAAATATTATGAAAACTGCTTATTAAAGGCTGTTCAAGATTTTCACTATTTCCAAAACGTAGTGGACACTATTAACATTTAGTGATCAACTTATCAAGCGTAATTTTGTGGGTATTAGTTACAAACCTGAGTGGAAACAAATCCAACACCACCCTGTCTTTGATTGGTCAGATATGTCACAATAGGACCAGCATAACCAGTGCGGCCGAGAATGACTTGAGTGAGCAGTACGTAGCCAGCGGTTTCCACATTAAGTGCATTCCCTCCAGCGTTCCAGTGCCGTGACTTTTTATCTGAAATAACAATAAAAAACAGCGGTTTGAATGAGTGAATGAATGCATGAATGCATGAATGCATGAATGCATGCATGAATGAATGACTTTATTTGACGTGTCAAAGGGTATTTAGCTTTAAAAAACTAATTGGGAACACTATTTACACATTAAAATATATCTTATCTACGTTAGTACTACAAAACTGGTCTTGCGAACGAAAGGTGTTTTGAAACTCACTACCTTTCAATAGTTTAATTGCTTTCTTGTAACGTATTTATGATTGAAAGCCAATTCAATATTGACAGCCAGATTTAAGAACGAACGATTTCAAAGATGCGTAATTTCAGAAATGCCCTTACATTATGTTTAACAAAATAACTGACAATATAACAAGTCAGTTTTTGGAGTCGATCTGATAAATTAAATTTGACGAATATTTTCAACTAACCGTTGTCGTATATAGCACGTTGTACAAGCCGGTCGTTTGCATTGAATTTTTCTTTGCTGTCTACCAGGGCCAGAGCGTACGCTGTTAGAGCCATGCTGTAAGGCTTGTTCAGAGTTTTGTACTGCTTCTCCAAGTAGTCTTGGGCGCGAAGTATCGAGGCTTTTGAATTCTAGGAGAAGATATCGACGTTATTCTAAAGTTGTATAACTGCAAATTTATTTTCCGCTTTTTAAAGGTAAATTACGGTCAAAAATTATTTCACTGTCTTTACTAGAGAGCGTCCTGAAGTGCTATATTCACTTTAAAAGTTTTGGATGAAACAGAAAATAAGGACCAAACTACAACAAACATTTCTCACTTCTTCTATGTTTGTTATTTTCACTGTTGTCTATTGTAAAGTTCTATAAACTAATGATTTGTTGCTGTTTCAATGCAGTGGAACTCCGACTTACAATCGCCTCGTAAATATGGTCACCTCGTTATTCGGCCACTGGTTTTTTGTCCCGGCGAGACGAACATACATTTTGCTATTAGAAAACCCTGTTAATGCGGCCACCCCGTTAATACGGCCATCAGCCACATTCTGAAATCCCAACCTGTATAATTCTTTATAATTTTGCCCCGTTTGTACGGCCACTTAAACCAGTTATGTTCATCTTTCCAATTTGAATGTTGTATGTACTGATTGAAGATCACCTACCGCTCCTCCACACTTGCACTCCGCCAGTGCAGCTAACACAAAAGCTGTCATAGCAACGTCTCCTTCCACATAAACACCTCCCTGAAATGTGTAAAATAATAAAGTGTGCTTGCCAAAGATTTCTTATAATCCTACAGGAAACCAAAGATAGCATAACTTTCGCGAGCTTAAATATTTCCTTAGGATTTCCGTGATAACATTTCGAAGAATGCCCAGCGTTTGCCGTAAATTTATGCATTATTTCGAGAAAAATTGAACTTTCTATACGTCAGTCACTTCACACAAATCCGATCCTTTTGAAGGAGGTAAGTTAATGTGTTAATTGAGTTTCTTACCACCATCTCTCTATGAATGACAGCGTTAACCTCGGGCAAGGCGCCATCTGCACGTTGGTTTGCAATCAACCAGTCTACCGAATCACAAACCAGATCCTCGTCGATATTAACGCCAGCAAATTGCTGGGCCTGGCAGAATACCCTCATCACAAAAGCCGTCAACCTTAAAAAAATTAACAAGACATCTCTCAGTTTGAATTTTTTATGAAGCTGCATATGTGTAAAGTGTTTGCAATAACTGTTATGCAATTACGACCCAGTTCAGACGCCGTGCCTGTCATGTGCCGCACCAAACTGCTTCCACAGTCTGCAGCGTCTGGGAAATCATTCTCCGTGTTTCTATCGCGCTATAGGAAAAGTGGAGGTTTAGGAGAACGAAATATACTGTAGGATCACGAGCTGCTGGTAAGTGTTTCCACAGCCTTTTCAAGTTCTTTCAAAATGCGAGAAAAATAAAAAAAGGAAAATCACTCGTTTGTTTCAGTTCCCAAGATATAAATTTTCTTCACTCGAGTAATTACGTCAAAAGGTTCTGCTATTTCCTTCGCAACATCTCTGCCAAAAATATGTTACATATCTTTTGCCGGAACACAGCTTACTAACAAAAGTGTCACTCATTTCTATGACCATGTATAGAGTATAATACAAAGCTTTGTCAGTTTACAAACCATGTACTTCCTGGTCGACTGTTAAACGCGCTAAACGACTTGTCACCACGACGATAGTTTAATTCTCTCTGGTAGCCTGTAAAAGAACAGCGTCAAAGAGTCAAAGCCTTTCTAACAAATCAATCGAACGAACTATAAACCCTAAATGAAAAAAAAATTTCCGTCTTTTCTCGTTTTTATCCTATAGGGAGGAAGGTTAAACAAAGTTGGAATTCTGTTGATGTTAATAATAAATCGTTTTGGGTTACGGTCCTCACAACACTTTGTCAGGACAAAGCCTTCTAAAAATGCAAACTGGGTCAAAAAGCCAAAATGTACACAGTTAACTGTTAAATTCAGCGCAAGCTTTCATTCAAAGACACCTCACTAAAATTACCTGACTGAATGAAGCGATAAGCACTCTCCTCGTTAGCTCCACTGAGTTGGTTGGTGTTCATCAGATATTCTAAAACGTAAACGTTTGGAGCGAGACGGATCATCGTCTGCTCTCCACAACCAGTAGGCTGGCGAAAAAACTTCTCCAGACCACCCTCGATAGTAGTGTTGACAACTGGACCCAGAAGATTTCCTGAAGCGAAAATGGCTTGTTGAAAAACCTCAGAAACCCTTTTATATGACACCACAAACATTAATGATTTTGAAGAACTCAAACAAAATTCAAAGAAGTGAATTAGAGAGTCTTATGAGATAAGAAATTGACTGTATTTTTCTGCCAATAAAAACCTCGTCATTGGCACGTTAGACGTACTGAAAGGCTTGTTAACGAGTAAGAAAAAAACCTTAAGTTCTAAAGGTAAGTTGATTGAGTTGTAAATAAACCAGTTAATTTTTACTAGATTGTAAGGTGTTTGGAGTTAAATTTTCTGGCTCTTTTAGTGCCAGACATACTAAGGAACGAAAATATGTTTCGGCTGGAAATAAACAAAATGTTACTGATTCAAAAAAGAATATGATGTATTATTTATATGCCACTGCCCGTCAATTTAAGTTGACATCAAATAAAATAACTTTTGACTTACCTGTTAAATAAATAACAGCTCCGACTGAGCCTGGAATAGCTTTCTGAGGAAATCCCAGTTTTATACTGTCCAACTGTCCGTTGGGACCCAATTGTGCTGTGAGAACAATAAAAAGCACGTACATTTACCTTACATTCTTAAAGGAAAAGAAAAACTGATCGTGTTGCTTGTTGGTGGTTAATTCATTTTTTGCTAAAATGGGCCTATTGTGTTGTTTGGTTCAAAATCCACTGGAACGCCGAAGAACAAGAAAAGTCAGGCTTGACTGGTTGAAATTTCTTCAGCTTAGAGGCTCTTATTTCTTTTGCTACTCAAAATTGAGGCCGGATTTTGTAACATGTTGCCGAAGGTCCAGAAGAAGAAAAAGAAAGCTAAAGCAAGAAATGTTCGTTCTCGATGAAACCTCGGCTGCATGCTAAATGAATTAGAAGAGGATTTATAAGGGTTATGGACCCTATGCAATCCGTCACAATCTGTTTTAGGTTTGATCATCCATACTGCTCTTCACATTATATTGTTGTTACTGTTTTGTTTTGCATTTGACATGAGCAAACCGTTGGGATGCCAAACAACAACAGCAACAACAACAAAAAGTCAGGTTTGGAGGCTCTTATTCTCTTACTACCCAAAATTGCGGCTGGATTTTGTAACATGTTGCCAGAGGCCTAAAGAGAGAAAAAATCTAAAACTAAAGTAAGCAGTGTTCTCTCTAGACGAAACCGTAGCTGCATTCTAAATGGAGAGGATTTATAGGTGTTAAGGATCGCTCCAATCCATTTCAATCTGGTTGAGTTTTGATCATCCATACTGCTACTCAGATTCTCAATATTATATTATTTTTTTTTTTACATTTGAATTCAGTAATCTGGGAATTGAAACTGTTCTAAGACCCAATATCGGCCATTACACTTTGGGTGGTTTCATCGCATCAAAAACACTTCGGGTTTGATATGAAAGGCTCGTGCAATTCTGATTCACTGGGGTTACCCTTCCATTCGGACACAACTTAAAGTTTCTTCATGCGAGTCCCAATTATATTTGATTCAATTTTTCTGTTGGCGACAGCGACTGCGACATTTACCCATATTTACGTTTGGACTTATGGCATCATATTCCTCTGGGAATCAGTCATTTTTCAAGCCGCAAGTGTAAACACATTCATCGGACGCATTTTACGCCTGGCAATCCTATTGTCTCTCTAACCACCCATTCTATTGCTGTACCTGTAAACTAAGAATCATTAACAACTGTAGACCCAAAATGTGAATTGACTGGGCAAAATAGGACTCTCGTATTTTCCTTAAAATCTCCACTCGTCACATCTTTTTAAACATCAAACTGCTACTATACATACATTGACTCTCAAAAGGTGCCGCTGTTGGCTTTTTTGCCTGGTCTTCTCCATCTTTTGGTCCATCATTAAGATTACCTATTAAGTAAATGAAACGTTACAAACAATTAACACGAGACATAGTCTTCATCTGTACCTAAATCTTATATAGCTTCTCAATCACATTTTATATCTAATGCAAGAGACAGAAAAAACAAACGCTCCTCAAGTTTCACCCCTCTATACTCAAATCGCAACTAACGGCCGCATCCCCACATCGGTCAGGATTTCTCGTTCAACACCTACGTCGATAAATTGTTACTTTTTAAGGTAAACGAAATCCTTATACAAAGACCATCTCTTCACAGGGACGTTCAACCGGCCAATTTGCCAGAATTCATTTGGGATTATCATAATCTGTTGTTCAAGAGGCAAAAAACTCTGTATATTGTTGGTAATAAATGGGAAAAAAAGATGACATTTTGAGAAAATTGATAATAAATCGCACAATATTCTTTGGAGCATACACGTTGTAATGTTGAAATGTAAAATCCTAAAACAGTAAGGTTAAACCATTACCATTTGGATCCAATATGAAAGATTGCGACTTTCGATGCTCCTTTCCTTCAGGCTGAAATAAAACAAGTTACATAAAATTTTGTAATGAAACTCGCTAAAAAAAAAAAAGAAACGTGTAAATATACGATTGCAACAAATTTTTTCCCTGATAGAAATCAAAGATAGTGTAGAAGTTGGGGGAGGGGTGGCTGGATGTGACGTTTCACGCATATGCAGGGTGTTGTTTCCCTTTAACCCAAGACAATCCGAAACGTTCAAAACGGTGGCAGATGCTACGAAAAGTGTGTTTGGAACATTTCTAGAGAATTCGAAAATTGTTGAATTTCTGAAAAGGGACCAATTCAACCGATAATATTAATTCTTATTTTCTTGGCGATAAATAGACTCTTCAAAACACCACAAGTTGGATCGGAAGAAAGCTTTTTTTGATAAGTTCTTCTAAGCACAGCGTGAGTTTGGGTGCTAGCAAAGACAGTCTGTGTTACGTTATACGTTCTGTAATAATAGAGAAAATTCAGCGTTCTAGTTTCTGATTGGCCAAGCTTCGAATTAGTTCGATTTTTAATCCTATTCGAGTACATTTACATAAGTTCGTTTGAGTACCTATGACTTAATCTTTGTTTAAACCTACCACAACAAATATTTTCCTTTTCACAGCATCTCCAGCAATATTCATATATACATTATCAAGTTTTACTTGAAGAATAGACGAGACTTCAACTTCTACTTCCCCAATTCTCTTGGGAACGATGGGTACAGCTACAGAGCGGGCATCGTTGCCTGGCACTTTGATCAGCCCAATAAGACCAAGCTTGCGGTCGACAGCAATAGAGCAAAAGTCCTTGTCGCCCTTCAGGTAGAGTTTCACCTGATGGAGAGATGAAAGGTAATAAAATGGTTCGTTTAATTTGCTTTGTTTACAAGATCGTGGGAAGCCCGGAAGAAAGTCCACGGCACCGAGAGTAAAGTCATTTTTGGCGTAATATCTTTATATCGACATATTGATTTCCATGCTTTTATTAGGTGTTTTGGTTAATGATGTTTAAGGTGCCATTTTCAGCTTTAGCTTTTCTTCCCTCAAAAAGTATTATTTATTTTCCAATATTCAAAAATGGCAATCGCCGATGAAGTGAAATTTTGTACACTTTTTTGCAAATACTATAACTAAGTAAATTTTCTGTTTGCTTAGTAAAAATGTGATAGCGTATATAGCAATAAAATAACCAAAACAAATAAAAAAAGGTGTGGTTGATGGTAATTAGTGAGATAAGGACATTTTTGGATGTAAAGATGGATAGAAGAAGAGATGAGTTAATGAATGTCTGAATGATACAATCAGAATAGACATGAATGTAAGGATGAATAAATGGATGCATATAGAAGCGTCACGCGTAAATGCGTGCGCGACAATGCCGGAAGGCATTTTTGGCGGGGGGCGGGGGGTTACTGTAGTTTGATCAAAGATCAAGGGAAGAAAGGAGAAACCATAGGTAGAAATATTCATTATACATTTTTCCTTTTATCAAGGTGAGACACCGCGAATTTCGATCAACCTTTGGTAAACCAACACTATTAAATATTCCTTTCTATTACGGCATTGCCGCGTGCACTTTTGTAGCACAAGCTTTCACGAAACAACTGTAAACGAAAAGAAGAAAGCGCTAACTAGTTCCAGTAATATTTCTGTGTTATACGTTATAAATGACGATTCAATAGAAAAGACTTATTATTTTTAAACTCACCCGCATTTCCTCATCGTGATAGTTGAAGACTGTCACCAGCAGAGAAAACTGTTCCCCCCTTTTGACTGAATATGGAATCTTCAGCGAAATGAAGTAGTCGCGCTTTCCCACAATCCTGAGCGGTGTGGCTAGACCCAGTCCTGTTTTGTTGTTGATGGCCACGGCCTGCATGACCCATGTGGTTATGGTGTCGGGTATTGTAACGTCCATCTGGACAAGCCCGCCCGGTCTGGAGAAAATTGATAGAAGTTGGAATTTTTGAATCCCTAGCTCTTCGACTCATATGAACTACATTGCACTTTGTCTTTCAATTTTCCCTAATATTTTCCTAATGTTGGTGTGCGCTACAGAAATGTAATATTAACACAGTGGAACTCCGTTAATCCGATCACCAGTGGGCCACAAAAATCAGGGCTCATTGAAACCTTTCTTTTTACTGAACTATTGTTTTTCTTGTATTTATAGAATATCCGTACTGTTTTGTTTTTTTACTTGATAATGACGTCCGAGAACGTGGAAACGTCGTGTATTTTTTAACCTTTAAAATTTTTCTTAAATGTTTTTAAGAAACGTTTTTTCGCAATTTTTTATAGCTATAAGTATTAGAGGAGTTCTCTAATAAGAAAATGACTGATTGAGCTTTTGTTCCGGCCAGAATAAAGTGGTCGTAATAACGAAGTGACTGTATCAACGGGATGGCCGTAATACGGGGTTCCATTTATTATTATTATTATTATTATTATTATTATTATTATTATTATTATTATTATTATTATTATCATCATCATTATTGCGTTCGACGAAGTGGAACGCAAACCTAATTTTGACATGTGGCTTTCCAGAGTTGGTTTCTCTGTGCACGGTTATAGGCCGAAAAAACCACATTCCTGTAAGGGCACCAAAATGGCCACCAGGCTTGATTTTTGCAGGGGCATGTCACGGCCAGTAAACTGGTACCGTTTTTAGACTTGTGATAAGACGTGCGGCGAACATGTGAGTTTGTGAGCAGGCCATGTGAGCTCGTCTTTCCTATTGATCTTTCTTTTATTTCTTTCCATTCAGTCGCCGTACGCTTCGCTATTATGTGCTCTCAGCGTTAGATTTTGGTGAATTTTTAACGCTTCGACAGTAGCATTTATCGAAATCTGAGGGAGTTGTCCTTGTTTATTAACACGACCTGGCTTTGGGATGATAACCGTGGAACAGCTACATTTTGATTGCATTTGTTGATTAGTTCCAGTCGCGACAGATAGCTCAGTCTTTATCCGGTCGAAATTTTATTGTTTGGAATCGGTGGAAAAGTACTCTAAAGGCAAGATCTATAAGACTACTTTATTCATCAGGGGAAATACTCGAATTAGTCGCACGGAGTTTGTTTACGATAAACGACCACGCGAAACGAGCACG